GATGCAACATGAGGTGATCGAGGAGATGAGACTTAAAGCACAGTCAGGAGCTGCGATGTGACATGATGCAATGTGAGGGGTAATGACGGGAAGCAGCCACTGGCCCATTTTAACACTATCTGCTCTCAAAAGCTGATTTCCATTTCACACAAAAACACAAGACTTGTGCTTTTACATCAGTACGGGAGATCTGAAATTCAGGCCTTGTGTGCACAGAAAGTCAAAATCGTCAGGAGAAACTGAGGTCGTCTCTAATGCTCCTCGCTAACTGCATTCAAAGGGAAAAAAAGCATCTATTTTAGACATCTTCAATGTGTGTTTGTGCGTGTGTGTGTGTGCGTGTTCACTTTCTGCTGTGTCACAGCAGGTATAACAGACACACACACACCAGGCAGCATTTCTCACGCACCCTGGGACCAGCTGCTTCTGCACACACACACACACACACACACACACCAACATCAGCTGCACACAGTCTAACACAGCGAGACACGCCCTCGTTTCCTCCCCTCTCCATCCAAACTTTTTTTAATGGGGGACTTAATTAATAATAAATGAGGAGCAGCAGGCTGAGTGAGTTGGGACTGTGTGTGGCACACAGATTCACGACATCATGGTAATACAAAGACACAACTACCTCACAGCATGAATAAAACCTGAACTCTTATACTGGAGGCACCATTTAGAAAGCAAATTATTTATTGGATAAAAATGTACAAAAGCTAAACCAGAGGTTCTACTGCAGTTGGATGAGCAGGAGGGATGAAAATGAGGAGAGATGCTATGATGATTTACTTTCTTTTGTACGGACATGTACTGTTTTTTAATGGAAAATATGTAAACAGGGAGTTTGTCTTGATTTTAAATTCCATAAAATGTCGTCTGGATTCGTTTAATTCTTTTCTTATTGATTGATAAAAATGGTGTGGTGAGAGCTTTAAATAATTAATAACCAATAAAAAAATTACAACTTAGCATTTTCCTAAATAAGTTCAAACTTGGCTTAAACAGCTGAAAACAGGAAGGATGAAAAAAGTTGTTTAAAAATGTTTATAAATTGTTACATTTCACATGGTAGCTGCTGACATGCTCACATGTCTGTTTGTGGGTGTGGCCGTGTGTGTGTGTGTGGCCGTGTGTGTGTGTGTGCTGTAAGTGAGAAGAAAGGACCAGACAGCTGATGACTCTTGCTTGATATTTGCCACAGGGAGGAGTATCTCTCTCTCTGTCTCCCTCTCTCTCTCTCTCTCTCTCTCTCTGTGTGTGTGTGTGTGTGTGCATGTGTGTGTATGTCTGGATTACCTTGCATATGTGCATGTGTGAAAACTAGAGCTATTTAAAAAGCCAACCAACATGCAGCAGACAAATTTACAGCCACTTGAAGATAAGAATAGATACTAAACACACACACACACACACACACACACACACACACACAGAAGAATTGTGTGTACTGCTGCAGGTTCATGCATGAATAAGCATTACTGAATCACACACAGACAAACAGACAATAAGATAACTGGGGCATCACTCTGAGGATTAGGGGCATCTCTGTCTCTACACGCCCCCTAATCACAATATACATTTAGAAAAAAAACCAATGCCAAGAGCTGTACATAAAATTTATTTTGCCAGTATTTTTTCTGTCTGACCTTTGACCTTCAGTCTGACCTACTCTTTGAGTTTTTCCTCTTCTCATTTGAAGGTGAAATTGTTTACATTTTCCGTGGTCTTCCTCTCCACCTTCCTGGCAGCTCACTTTTCAGCATCTGTTGCCGAGTATATCCACTACCCCTCCTCTGCACATGCCCAAACCATCTCAGCCTCACTCTCTGACTTTGTCTCCACAACACTTAACCTGAGCTGTCGCTCTGATGTCTTCATCTCTAACCCTTTCCATCGTGTTCCCGCCCAATAAAAAGCTTATCATCTTCCATTGTCCCACCTCAAACCATACATCACAGCAGGTCTAACTACCATCTTGTAAACCTTCTCTTTCACGCTCGCAGCTTTCTATCTGTTACAAATCAGCTCTCACACTCATCACCACCCACTCCACCCTGCCTTTCACTCTCTTCCCAGCTGTCCATTGCTTTAGATGGTTGAACTCGGGTATTTAAACTCATCTACCTTTTCACTGTTACACCTGTCTCCCTCTCATTCACACACACGTATTCTGTCTTGCTTCTACTGTCTTACCTTCCTCCACTCTCCAGAGCATACCTCCACCTCTCTTACACCTACAGATAACAGTGTCATCATAATTGCCCTCACTTCCTCCTTACTAATGCTCTGCCCCCCATTTTTACTAACAGTCCTCTTCTCTCTCTGAATTTCTTCATTCGTCAGCTTCTTAAAGTCTTCTCAGCACACTCTCTTCACTTATTAATACATTTCCATCTCTATCCTTCAGCCAACCTAACCCACAGTACATCCTTTCCAACTCCATGTCTGGCCACTGAATACAAATCTTTTCCCTTGAATTCTTTCCTATGCGTCTTCACCAAGTCACCTTGATCTCTTTTCTCTGTCCAGAGGATACACCCTCATCAATAGAGAGTATCTTCACAGTCATCTAGCGATGGCTTAACTCTTCCATGAACCCTGTGATGTCAAGAGTCATCCTAGACGTGCAATGCTGCTACATTCTTCAGTTGATCTTAGATTATCAAGACCTTCTGCATAATATGTGTGTGCACCTTCCTCCACTCTTATGCACCAACCTATGCTCTTTATGTCCTCTTATTAAAATGTTTGTTCATAAAATATAAGTTCTTATACCGGGAGTCAATCCAGGCCACCTGGGTGAAAACCAGGAATCCTATCCACTAGAACATATGGGACTGCTTGTGTTGGCCACTTACTTGGATATTCAGCTGCTGCTAGAGCCACCAGTTTGGTGGCTGCATTGGTTGTCACAGTGACATCAACACTGACCAATTGCAGGTACTTTTTGCATGATTCTGACCAACATCCTGAATATTGCTGTCACTACTTAGACAAAGCAGAGAGCAGAAGCTGTTTAGTTATGCAGTTTTTCAAGCTTCTTCCTCTGTATAACCTGAGATTCTCTGAGTGACCTCTGCACAGGTACTAGCTGCAGTATTCTCCTGAATGGTGCAGCGACTCAGGCAATACCTCACATCAGAGCTGGTATAGCAGGAGAAGAAGTCAAAACTGGAGGTAAAAGAAATGACTTAGTCTTTTGAAAACTGTTGCAACATCTCCCTCTATATAAACTGTGAATCTCTGAGCTTCGGTATTGTCATTAAAGTGGCAGTAAACACATTTTCAAACTAGCAACAGCAGGTTATGAAAGTGCATAATTAGCAGTGGATGCAACACCATCATTCATCAGGTGGGAGGTGTAACAGGGCCATTATTAGATAAAGCTGCTCCTTACTTCCTCTTCCTGAAATGTCTGTCCTTATATGCAAGTTCCTATACGTGGAGTCAAACCCAGGCCACCTGGGTGAAAACCAGGAAACCTGACCACTAGACCATGAAGTGGTCAGGTTCAGTTGCTGTGAAAGGACATCATCCCCTCCTTATCACCAGTTATACCAAAGGAGAGGGTGGGGTACTTGCTGCACTCTACTGATCAGCATCCTGAACAATAGGTGTCGCCACTCAGACAAAGCAGAGAGAAGAAGCTGTTTAGTTTTGTAGCTTTGAGAGCATCTAAAGCATCGTCCTCACTAACGTGGGAAACTTTGAGCTCCTGCACATTGAAATGGTGGTAAAAACTGACAGAATTGCACATTTGTGCCTCAATCAAGGATACAAAAATTAGGAAATGCATCACCAGCCGAAACCCAAAGAGTACACCAACAGCTCTGACTATAAGGGCCTATAAGAACCAAGCAGCAACCTCCAAGGAAATCCCTTACATGTTAGGAATACCCAAAATTAGAGCATTAAAAGGGATGTTTACCATCTGGTACATAAATCACTGTTGGCATCTTCATATCAGCCCTGTAGGCGTGACGTTTGTATAAGTCTGCCTGCATACACAATAAGAGAAAAGTAAACCACTACATGAAAACAGGGCTGTTATATACCCCGGGAGAACATGCAAACTCAGAAACCTAGCTGTGAGGCAAGGCTACACCACCACCCTAATTAACACGTTACACACTAGAAGACAAGCATTGCATTCCTAATGGAAACAGACCGTGTGTAGGGCAGCAGTTACATCATCTAATCAGGACGCCCTCTGATTTATTCAGATCAATGTGGTGTACCTGAAGGATTTGCAGCACCCAGGAATACCCTCAAACCAAATAATGTGCACAAACTGGATTTTAAATCACCTGTTCACGTTTTGTACCCAGCCACACACACACACCAAGGACTCCAAGCACACACACATGCGCGCACACACGTCGTGCATACAAGCGAGTGTCCACGGCTACAGACAGATCTCTTCATTATCATCATCATCATCATCATCATCATTACCGTGACTCAATAAATTTGGGACAAGAGAGAATAACCTAAAAGGGACTTACATAACAAACACACAGCCTTGCAGCACTGATGGCACGCCACACACACACACACACACACACACACACAGAGAGAGAGAGAGAGACTCACATCTCACCCATATTTCATCGCCCCAAACCACACGATGCCATTTTCACCACATCACCGCCAATTTTCCATTTTTCACCGCATTTAAGCGAAACTAATGTTTTTTCATTCATTTACTGGAAGGAAAAACGTTGAGTTAATTCATTCACATTTTAATTTAGACGCAGAAACACATCACTGATTTGCAAAAATGTAACAAAATATAGAAAATCTGCCAAATTTGCCTAATTTTCATTTACAGAGACTGATTCATGTTCGTTATAACCATTCCGTTACCAATGTTAATGGCATAAAGAGGGATTTTAACGCCTCTAATTATGACTACAGGTGATAAAATCTACCGATTTGGTCAACAGCTCTACAGCCTGACGTCCTCTCATCTGTGGAATTTTTTGTCTTCTTACCCGGTTCGCAGATTCCTTGATCCTACTCAGCAGGAGCCTGTCTCCGATGCCCAGCGCTGGCCGAGTGCGCGAGGACAGCTGGCACAACGCGAGCACCAGATGCTTCTTCGGCGACGGTCCGGCAGCAGCCAATCAGGGACCGTTCGAATGAGAGAAACCGGAAAACCGACCAATGGGAGGGGAGTTTAGTCTGTGGAAGGCGTTTCCTCTTCGTTTTGAGAAAGGGGCGTGTCTTCTGCTGCTGTAGTCGTGATACCTTCACTTGCGGT